CTTCTGTTCCCAGAGCGACGTCGTGGGGACGACCACGATGGTGGTGTTGGTGATGGGGATGGCGATAATGGGGATGAACGGGTGCTGTTGCTATACCCTGGGCACGTGTTGGTCCGGGGCAGCAGAGCCCGAGTGTCCGGGCCCGGGGGGTTGGCTTGTGTCGTGTCACACGCTGGCTCCGCCGGTGAAACTCTCCCGTTGCAGGTCTGGAGACCTTCATCTCCGTGGCTAAGACGCTCCCATCGCCTGACATATATGATGTCGTGGAGGGATACATGAAAATTTCCATGGAGTGTGCTGAAATATTCAAACTTATGGATGGAGAAAGAAAGCCTGAAAGTGAGGTAAGCTGGCCATGGGTGTTAATAGTGTAATGACTGTCAGCCTGCATCCCAACTGGAAGAGGAACTGCCTAATAAATGCTTTGCCGTCTAAGTAACTGCTAATTTGGTATGAGTTTGGTTGTTATTTTCCTGGAAGTCGCAGTGGCAGAAGCACTGATGGCAAACATAATTTTCAGTGCAAAGATGTTCCTGGATTTAACAACGCACGGCTGGTAGTCTTGCTGAAGTTAAGATTCTCGAAATTATATTAAAAGACCATTTATGAAGTAAGGGGGTCGACAGAAGCAGTCAAGCAACAAAAGTAGAAAATAGTCCAGTGAAAGTAATTGTTTTTAGATAACTAGACATCTCCCTGATACATCAGTATTTCTAGAAAGCCACCAGTATAGTTGACCTAATTTTTCTCATCTGAGCTGGTGACAATTTTTCCTTATCAGAATATGATGGATGAACTAGAGAATTACAAAACTGTTTTCACTGTGAATACTGGGGCAGCATTATTAACTTAAATCTGCTTACAACAAAAAATCGGATAGTGGTTTTTTTTAACCTCCACTTGTGGGTCTTTACTTTAGATTATCACTTTTGTGTAATGAAGAAAGCGTATCATAGAATCATAGAACGGTTTGGGTTGGAAAGGACCTTAAGATCATCTAGTTCCAAACCCCTTCCATGAGCAGGGACACCTTGCACTAAACCATGTCACCCAAGGCTCTGTCCAACCTGGCCTTGAACACTGCCAGGGTTGGAGCATTCACAAAATGTTCAATGACATGCTTTCTTCAAGATCCTTTTACTAATAGGGGCTAATAGTTGTAATGAGTACAGTTCCAGTGCTGTGTGGACTCTGGGTTCACTTAGATGGAATTAATTGCAAGACTGGAGGAGCTCGGATGGCTTTTTCCAACGCGTTCTATTGCTTCACTGTGAACTTACTAGCAGTTGTTTCTTAAAACATCAGTTCATTAGGCCTTGGCCTCTAGCTTGAAAAGGGCTTTCAAGATTCATCAGCCTGTGCTGAGGTTTGCACTGCAGTCTGTGTTTGCATCCCCAAAAGTTATACTTTGTGTGTATGTAGATAAATCATGCATATAGGTCTTGATTCATGGTGAGGAGGGACCTTTTTTTACATTCAGTTTCTTTGTCCAGGGTTGTACAAGCCTTCAGTCAGCACACTGACTTGGGCTTCCTGCAGAGGTTATCCCTCTCTACTACTGTATTTCATGATTTTTTTCAGCTGAAAAAGGAGTCAGCTGACTGCCTGTGGTTCTCTGGTCTTTCATATAGTATCTATAGGGGCTTCCTTGGAAATTCATACTCTTGGAACTAATTCTTTAGAAGAGGAAGCATTAATTTGGGAGAGAATTCAGAAGTTAACTTTGCCTTCATATGAGGAAGCTTTCCTTTTGTGGTGGGGTTACTCTTTTTTTAATGGTGTTATTGTTTGCTCAGCTAATGATTTCAGGATGTACCTGGTATTGTCAGACATTAACGTATTTCTATATCTTACAGATGCTGTTAATCTTTCAAGCTCTAGAAGCAATTTTACTGAGGACAGCCAGTGACCTCTCCCATTTTTCTGCTGTGGGAATGAACATAGTAAAAAAGTTAATTCATTCCTACATGAGATTGGTCTATGCTGCTTTGTATTCTGAAAATCACAGGTAAGTAAGTCTTCTCCGTACTGTTGCAGAGAATCCCTGTCAGTTGATCATGAGGGGCTGTTTGGGTCTTCTTGACTTACTGCTAATAATCCACCTTTATTTAATGATACTATTCCACATTTCATAAATAATTGCATAGGGAAGTCTTTGTGAGGTGGAAGCTCAGATACAATACACAATCTAATGCTATATGATCTCGGGATTTAGTCTGTTACAAGACTCATGCTGCATACTTAAACTGAAGAAAATCTCTGTCATAACACAAAAAATGCAGCCTTACTTTGGCTTACACTGTGTATCCTTAACTTTAGCATCAGGTGTAGCTCAGATGGACCTGCTTGTGGCAGTAAAGTGTATGTGTTTGCAGGATTGGGGTCTCAGTCCAAGAAATATGCTTTTAGAAATAGACTGGTCACAAAGAGGGCTGAAGTTCTTTGTGAATAGCCTTTGTGTTTGGCCTAAATCTGTACTGTGATTGTCATTAGAATGGTTGGATACATATTTCACTAAAGCTCCCCATCAACTGCAGCAAGAGCTTTCCATGACCAGGGATACTTTCCAAATGGTTGTCTTGGTTGCTTGTGTTGGGATTGGCTCAGAACTGCTTTATGCCTGAAACTCCTGAAGGCTTGGGTGGATGTTTGAAGTGGAGTGGGATAATTTCTTTTACGAGAAAAAGGTCTTTTTTAAAAATTTAGATCTCTTGATTTGATTGTTTGTATAACTGTCATTCTGGAAATAATCTTCAGGTTTTCCTCTGCCTTTTGTTTTAGGATGAGCCGAGTGTGCCTTACCCTGTTGTCAGCAATGGTGGCTCAGGGGCCAGATTCAGCAAGGGATGTGTATAGCCATTTTGATTTCAATAATAAATTTCTGCCTGGATTATTGAAAAAAAGATGTAAGAAGGTAAATTAAGCTGCTGTGTGCTATGAAATGCTACATCATGGCTCCATCAGTTTTTTTCTGCCAAGTATTTAAAATTCAGCTGTATTTAAAATTCTCTTTGCTGTATTTTTGTCTGCAAGAACTTCCCTCTTCTTTCATGTCCTGTGTGAGGCTGAAATGCATCTTGATTGTTTCTGATTGGCAGCAGAGCTGATCTGTGGGGCAAGAGCTTCCCATCTACTTACATAGGAAATCCCCAGGGAATGTTTCTGAGTATCTGCAATAGTGTGAGAGCTGGGCCATACCCTTGAGGTATAGCATGCTTTGTTTTTCATCCTGTGCTGGTCTTTCTCATCTTGTCAGGGTGCAGAGCTCCTCAGGATAACCTTGTTTTATTACTGCTTTGTAGAATTTGCTGCAAAACATTAAAGTGCCTTGTTTGTTTCTAATAAGCTGTGATGAAAGATAAATGTATAGTTTCTACCCTTTTAGTGAAGGATGTGCAAGTGAGTAGAAAAGGTCATTCCTCTTTTTCCAAAACAAACTTTAATTCTTGTTTTGCCTCCATTTGTTAAAAATAATCAGAGTTGACTTGAACCAGTGTTTCAGAACAACAATATTTATATTTCATTTCAAATATAAATGTATAATAAATCCAATATTATTTCAATGCTGATACATAGTTTCTAAAGATGACTTGCAGAATGAATGTGTGCACTTGTGTTGGGTTTGTGCCATCTGTGGTGACAAATGAAACTGTTTATGCGTAAAGCAGTCAAGTAGAAGGCAAAAACCCAAATACACACCTTTTTCCCTGAAACCACGTTTTACAGTTTCAGGAATGTCAGATTTTATGGGCTTTGACCTTACTGCTGAAGTTGTCATTAGGAGCACCTCCACTCCAGGTTTAAATCTGTAGCCTTTTGAGCACAAGCTTATTAGATATGGAAGTAAGGTACAAAGAAGAGTTTCCAAAAACAGATTAAATATCTTACTCTTGATCAGCTTTCAGTGGAATCAATATGTCACAACTGGCTATTAGAGGTGAATTTTTAATACAAAAATATCAGACCCAAAGCTTACAGCAAAATAATTTTTCTTTATTTTTTCTTTCAACCTTTTCATGAGTAACTTCTGCCTAATGTTTAGCCTAGTCAGTAACTTCTTTCAGCCATTTTTACATGCAGCTTGATTTTGCAGAGCGTTAAAAATTTATAAATCACAGAGGGACTCTTTATGAGGGAATGTGGTGATAGGCTCATAGAATGGTTTGGGTTGGAAGGGACCTTAAGGATCATCTAGCTGCAAACCCCTGCCATGGGCAGGGATACCTTTCACTAGACCAGGTTGCTCAAAGCCCCATACAGCCTGGCCTTGAATAGTGCCAGTGATGGGACAGCCACAACTTCTTTGGGCAACCTGTGTCTCACCACCCTCATTGTAAAGGATTTTTCCTAATGTATAATCTAAATCTCTCCTCTGTGAGCTTAAAGCCATTCTACCTTGTCCTGTCACTACATGAGGTCCCAAAATGAGGGGTGACTGTTTTAAACTGAAATAATACGAGTCTATGTTCATTCCTATGATCCTTTTCCAGGCAGTGTTCACTACTTCTTCCACTGTGCCTGAATTTGTAGTTTTATAGTGTATTAGCCCTATATTAAGAGATATTTTTATTTTTTTTTTAGCTGGTCTGTCGCATGACCCAGGTAGCTCTATAGGTAGCTGTGATAGCTGAGAGATATGTGTAATGCACTGTAGCTCAAGGATGGCAATGAACAGTAAAAGTCCCCAAGACTGGCACTGCCCCTGGAAGCCTGTATAGTAAGAAGGTGCAGCAGCATTATTACCATTACTGTTACTGAGTGTTTCTGTGAATTGACCAGTATGCCAAGTGGTGCAGAAGTGAGGATGTTCAATGATGTTTGTACAGGGTTTGGCATGAAACTGCTGCTAATGTTTTCTTCTTTCTTTCTTTCTTTTTTTTTTTTTTTAATTTATGGCCTATCTCCTATATTGGGAATTATAAAAATACTTCCTTTTTGATGTGAACTTCAGCAGACTGTGATCTACTTCACAGAGGATTTTTTTTCAAGTGAATATACTGTGGGTGTATTGCGTATAAATGTATGGGTATCGCTATGTGCAACATGTTTATAGAAATTGTTTAATTTACCTGTTCATAGTACTTATAAGGATAATAAATATTTTCAGTTTTAATCTTCCAGTTGTATACAATCTGATTGCTAACAGTACCCTTATCTTTTTTAGGGGAGAGCTGATGTTCGTATGGCCTACATTCAGTTTGCTCTTTCCTTTTTAATTGCTGGTGACAATGCAATCTTGACACAGGTGCTAGAATTAAAAGGTACTTCACAATTGCTTGTATAGTTTTTTTTTAAGGCAGAATGTTTTACAGGTGATAATAAATATGAACTAATTCGAAATGTGAACAAGCTAAACAGCCTTAATAAGATACAAAATATTTTTAATCTTATTACTTGAAAAACTTTACGCTTCTTCAGTATTCTAGTGAGTGCCTCTTCTGCTTGAGAATAATGTTTGCTATCTGCAAAAACTTTGTAAAAATAAAAAGCCTTTGGTGACACAGATGTAAAATGGTAAATGCAATTTAACTTTGAGCCCATAGAGTCAGTAAACAGAAAAAACTCCCTTCATGGCCTCCAGCCTTGCTCGTAGCACAGTAACAGTGGGTACGTTCAAAGGTGTTGTTTTTTTTTACAGTGTTAAAGACTGTGTGTACTTTAGTTTCCTTTCTAACCTCATGCAGGACAACTCTTATGTACTCCATTAGACCACTTTTTGTCAACGATTTGGGGGACCAGTGTAATGTCCTTTGCATCCTTTATTGAGGCATTACATGGCAGTGCAGTTCAGGAGCATGTTACAGTCATGTCTCTTAAAAAAGAGGATGCAGAAAGTTGAATCTTACATACATTTGGTTAATACTCAATCCCTCATGTGCTGAAGATAATGTAAAACTTCTATTGACTCTAGTAATTTGAAATCTACTCCTGATGTTTCTCAAGCTGTGAACTGCAACCCTTGATATGGCTGTGGAATAATTCAGGAGGGATCTAGAAATACTCTTAAAAGTAAAAGTTGTTAGCTGGCAGCAGTTCGTTTCTTCTAGAATGAGGGTATGAGAACAAACCACAGCTACTTCTTTTGTTTGTGTTACCCTGGGAGCTGCTGATTTCCTTTAATTGCTGCAGTTGTTCAGCTCTTTCAAGAGTGGGGAATAGCAGTGCACACTTAGACCCAGTCAGCACAGTTGGCTTTCATTCCCCTCTAAGATGCTGCAGGTCTCTATAAACTGAAGTTCTCTAACTTTGGGATGCACAAGTGAGCCAAAAGGTGATGTATGTGGTTGGAGATGTAACCTCTAAACACTTGGGAATCGCTTGGTGAAACAGTTGTGAGTCCTTCAACGGAAAGGATAGGCATTTACTCAAGTTTAAATACTCTATAGCACATTGGGGCCCAAGATATATTTGAAGTTGACAGATGATGTTGCAATAAGTGTTAATAACCAAGTTGGCAAATTAGCTAGCTATGATGAGAATCGGTTTGACAGCATTACTTGTCCATCACTGTAGTTACAGACACATCATCCTTCTGAACTCTGATTGCAGCCTTTTGGTTCATCCTTAAATATAACAGCAAGGTGAATAATGTGACATTGAAGAGAAACGGATATGAATTCCCTGAAGCATTTTAGGATGAAAATAGCTTTCACTTTTTCACTTTAACATTTGAAATGTTTTCTTAGATTTCATTCCAGATATTCTTCGCTCTGAAATAAAGGAAGATAAAGTTTCTACTGTCAATCTTCTTCTTTCCACACTAAGAACTAAGGTATGATATACCCTTGAAATTGTGTTGTCTCTTGTTTTCCAGTTTCTTCACTGCTGGAAACAGTTTTGCAGTAATTTCTCATAAATTGCACAGCTCTTTAAGATGTTGGCACTGTGCTGCTGCTGCTGCAAGTTTGTCAGTGTGTCCATTACTGGTAATATTTGTTGGAGGTTGATATCATGGCTGTATTACTGTTTCAGGACTGAAGCCTATTATGCTTTTCCATTGCCACCTTTTAAAGGAAGTAATTGCAATAGCTTGTACTTCGATGCTAATTTCAGCTCATCTTTAGTGTGTGGTGTCCAACAGATTCTGATTGTTTCACAGGTTGCAATTACATCAGTGCCAAACCTGAAGGTCAAAAGAACTGGAGTCTTTTTGGTCCTTCCAGTGGCAGTCGGATTTGTCCTTCAGTTAATGTGTCTCAGGCCGAAATGGGAGATCAGCTAGATTTAAGTAGGTTTGTTAGCTGAGAGCTAACAAGTGACATAACAATCTTCTTACCGGGAGAAAAATGGTTTTAGTATGGGGACTGTGACATGAAGATGGTTTTTAGGAGCTATCTGGTTGCAGTTGAAGAGTGTGTGGTGCCATTCCACAGCCAGTCTTGGCAGGGCTTTGTTGAAGCCACATCCTGTGGTCCTGGATAGCTGGTCTTTGGACTTGTTTACTGTTAGGATGGCAAGCTTTTGGCTGCATGAGATAAATTTGGTTAAAGGTATTTCTTGGAGGGGTAGAGGAAGAGGGAAGACTTACCATAAAATTGTCTTCCCGAGATCAGAGAAGTTTTTGTGAAAAAGAGAGGCTCCATTCCACCTGCTATCAGAATGTGCTGTTGGCTGCTCGCCTCCAAAGTTGTTTTTGCTAATTCTCTCATAGCAGACAGACATAACCTGTGATATAGTGGGGTTGAAACATAAGAGTTGGAAGCAGGAATTGCTGGAAGGTGTGAGAGTTGGTTTGGTCTCAACTGCTCTTCCTGTGCTCTGTTGTTCCTTATCTTCTAAGCATGGCTGTGCCTCTTTCACTGTGATTCACCAGTTTGTTGTGCTGTGGGTACAGCAACTGCACCAGAGATTTGTTTCTATTAAAGTATTTTTAAAAATGCTTTTAGTTCCTGTATCTATGACTTTCGATCTGTTTTTAATTACTGTAGCAATGTTGCTCTAACTGTTGTGTGAGAGAAGGAAGAAAAAATAGTTTCAAATTTAGAAGGTAACCATAAGAGCCTGTCTCAGACTCAGGGTTTTCACAACTGACAATTTAAAGCCAAAAATATTCTTTCTTTCCTCTGTTGCAATAATCTTGGAAGAAGAAAAAATCTAGCATTTAAATGTAAGATAAACCTCCTTGAAATTTTGTTTTCTAAACAAAGCTTTTCCCACATGGGAATCATACATCATGTACTGTTTTGTTATTGATGAAACCTAACATGCTGTATGACTTCTTCAGTTTAGCAAGAAAAATGAGAATTAAAGAAACTGCAGACAGGAAAACACAGTAGAAGAACTTTTGAGAACTTCTTCCACTGTGTTTTCCCTTTCATTCAAACTTCATTTGTAGCAAGTTCTACCATTTCTCCCAGCAGCTTTCCAGGCTCCTAGCCTGTGGCTGTGCTACTCTAAATACATTCGGTGCTCTTCAGTCTGTCCTGTCCAGCATGTGCGGTGTTTGCAGAAGTTGGTGTAGAGTCCTATGGCTTCAACCATATCAAGATGGGAGCAGGAGGATGTGGAAGAAGCGTTGAAAGGACAGGCAGAACCTTTGTCTGCTGTAGTGAGGAGAGTGAGCTGTGTATGTAGTAGAAGAATGAAGTGTGTTGCTGATTTGCCAATATTTTGTAATAACTTGCAATAAATAGATGAATTCCGTGTTTGTTTTTCCCCGTTTCAGGTGGTTCAAAATAAAACTATCACCAAAACACAGAAGGTGCGCTTTTTTACCGCAGAGGTGTTGATTCACATTGCTTCACTTTACCGGTGGAATGGGATTACTGATGTCAGCCCTGGGGATTTAAAGGTCTGGTAACTTAATTCTTTGTAATTTCTAGTCATTGTCCTGCCTTTTTTTTTGGTTTTCCGCTTCTTGCAGCCCACAGTTAGAAATAGTTCCCAGTTACTGTAACCTTGATGAGCTCAAGAAGAGGGATCTGCTGAGGCTGCTTAAAAAGAGCCCCTCACTTTCTGCTGCTTCTCACTGCTTGAGGAGGAGGGTTTGTTCCCCCTCCCTGATTGCCAGAACTGAAGTAAGTGCAGATCTGTTAACCAGGGACCGAAGGGGCGTAGGTATGAGTACTGTATTCCTTTTCCTGACACATTTGTGTCTCTATAGTAGAATATATCAGGAGCAGTCTTCTTACCACGTGTCTTATTCCCATCCTGCGCAGTGATCTGATATGAGAGCAAAACTCCTAAGGTGGTTGCCAGCCTTTTCAGCTTACATTGTTTGAGAAGCTGTCAGGGTTTCTGAGGCTTGAGCTCTTAATGATTCTGCTAGTCCATGAAATCACATTCCTAAAGTCATAGATGAGGCAAGGATCAGGGCTGCTGCTGGTGGGGGTGTGCTAATACTGGAGATGTATTGTCATCTTCTTATAAGTAGTCTACAGTTTTGTTTTTTTATTTTTCTGAATAATGTATCTCTTTCCTTCTCCCTCCCACCCCTCACTGTGGGAATATCTAAGGTATGGGGTAAGCACAGTGCAAAGCAGTAGAAAGACTTGAATGTGTTGAATACAGAAACTTAGACTTCTCTTGTTAATGTGAACAAAAGCCAGACTGTCTTTTAGCATTTCCTTGAAAGGAGCTTCATAAAATTTACAGTGAAACTGTTGTAAGATTTTCTTCTGTGCTACCAAAAATCATATGCCTTTTTGACTCGTTTTTGATTTTTCTAGGCGACTCAAGGTTCTGAAGAGATGGGAAAAATGATGGTACGGGAACTTGTTCATAATTTCTTAATGGACCTTTGCTGCTCTCTGAAACATGGCATAACTTTCTATGATCCAAGTCTTGGAACTTCTGGCAAGTAAGTCACCAGACAACTGAGATTGTCTTATTCCTGGCACATAGTTCACATACAGACCTAACTAGTTATCTTGTCTGCCTTTCCAGGCCTTTGCAAATAACTTTATTGAATTCTGCTTCCATCTCTCTTTCTTCTGTGGCAGACAAAAGAAATGCATCAGCTTTGTTTTAACTTCCCGAGATCAAACTATTGGATCTCCTTATACCTCAGCATACTATAGAGCGGGCTGCCCTATTCGCAGGGGCTTAGGCAATGGTTGTGTTTCTCTGAGCCATCTGCCTGTGTAACTAGATACAAAGTCTCTTCTTGTAAGATGTGATTTTGGACCATAGATTTTTTTCATGTGACAATAAAGCATCACAGCTGCAGTGTTCACCAGATGGTGGTTAAAACACTAGTCTAATTTACATTTTGTAGAATCAGATATGTCTTATCCCAGATTTAAGGAAAATGCTGACATGGATTTCAGTAGTGCCAGAATTTGGCCCGCAACACCTAATCTGGAAGCACTCATTTGTCCTACTGTATGCATTTGCTAACTAGTTAAAATGTGTGCATTAAGATTATGACTGATAAAGGAAATAATTGAGACTGTGCTTCATCACAGTAGCTGGGCAAAGAAGGTACTAGATAGTAGTAGCAGGTACTGATAGTGGTGTGACAGCAGGTTGTTTCTTGCTTTGAGCAAAATTTTAATTGGTATTCATCAGGTATTTGTCAAATTCTCACTTTGTTTAGGGACATACAGAAGAAAGCTTGAAAAAATAAAAAAGGACTGAAAAATCACAGAAAAAGCTTCCAAGTTGAATATTGAGTTTTAATTCTACATTTTTAGCTTTGTGAAGTTTGTTTAGAATATTTCTGTGGTTTTAATTAAAATTATTTACTGTTTGTCATGCAGAAAACCTGGTGGTAAATTCAGTTCTTACTTTTCTGAGTATGAATGTAGAAATTATGCCAGCAGTGTGAGAGGTCTTGCCTTGAATTTACCCCAGCTACAGTTGGAGGAGTTGCAGGGTTATCACATGTAAAGTATTGCAGTAAGGTTTTATTTTTTAAAGTTTCTTTTTTTTCTTCAACAGGGGAGGAAATGTGGTGCTTCTGCACTTTCTGCTTGGTTTAAAAACTGCAACAGAAGATGAACTGGTTGCGGATCTCATGGTGAATATTCTTAAAGTATGCCCAGATTTGTTGAATAGATACTTTAAAGAGACCCGGTATTCCTTTGTTCCTAGACTTAAGTCTGCTTGGATGGACAATATGAAGTTACTCAGAAAGGTAAGAGTATGAATGATGCACACCACCTCTCCACAGAAATACCCAATCCCATTTATTTATTTTTTTTCCCCCCTTCCAAAACCTGAAGTAGTTTTTGTTAAACAGTAGTGCAGAATTATACAAAATTGTAAGAGAAAAGATGGGTAAAGTCAAACAGTCCTGACCTACAGAAAAGTTACTAAGCCAAGGAACTTGGTAGTAGATTAGTAAGGTTGCCTTTGATTGCTTTTATTGCAGATAGATATTATAATGCCATTCTTATGTAAAATTTCATACAATTTAGTGCAGAGCCTGGCCAGCCTGTGATGTGACCATTTTAGGTATAAACTTAACTCTGAATTCATGAATTTAGCCAAGGTCTTCTTAGTGACAAGGAACAAGATTTCACTGATTTCAGAGGAACTAATCTGAGGATCAGGAAGTGGATTTTTTTGGTTATGTTTCAGAAGTAGCTGTTCTATGCCAGAGGAAACTCATATGTCTGAAGACATCTTGTGTTCACAGCTGTAAATGCACAGTGCTTTAGAGTTTATTAAAATCACTAGAAAGCAGACAGGCACAGTATTTCATAAATAATGATTTTAAAAACAAACCAGTCCAGCACTGGGAAAGTTATGTGGCTGAGGTTTAAGTGAGCTAAACAGGAAGGACTTAATAGTTCTGATATAGCACCATCAATTACTATATGTATGTTAGGAAAGAAGCAGCAGGATACTGTTAAATGTCAAAGATGGTAAATGGAGTCGGGGAATGGCATCCTGATTTCTGTGGGTGCTGAGGAAGATGGGGCATGGCTCAGAGCCACAGCTGCTTTAACAAGTGTAGACATAGAGTGAGGTGGAAGGTCATTTGGTAAAAAGCCATGCACAGGCCAGGGGGCTGGATAAACATTTAACTAAACTGGGAAAGAAGGAATTGGTGTAAGAAGCACTGGGAAACATCACAGTGATATGTTTTTTGAAATGTAACAACGCTGAAGCTCAGCTAGAAAAAACTTCTGTCCGTTCTGAGTGTTCCTCTGCTTCTTTGTTAGCTTAAAATAGGCAAGTAGGATCTGTAGTCTGTTGAAAAGGGGTGGCCTTTAGCAGGGATGCAGGTCACATACAGCTGTTCCATTTATGAATAGGAGTCTGGGGGATGCTCTGTAGCAATTCTGTATAGAAATTAGCATTTAGTGCTGTCATTACTTTTGACGAGTCAAAAGCCTTCTGTAAAATGCTCCTCAGAAGAACCTGTTATCTCCAGGGCTATGTCGATTTTGATTAAATTGTTTTTATTTCAGATCTATGAGGCTCAACCAGAGATCTCCAGTTCTTTTAAGACTTCAGAGTTTATTCCTCTTCCCAGGTTGCTTTCTATGGTGATGGTAACAACAATCCCTGCAGTGTGCAATAAAATAATGTTCACCCAAGGACTAAATGTAAGAGCAGTCTATAATATTTCAGTCTATAATATTTTTCTCTCTCATTTAGTACTGTTTGATTTGTGTGTGATCATCCAAGAAGTTTCTTAAGTTGGTTAGTTACGTATGTTTTATATTGTCTGTCCCAGCATAAATCTGGCTTGGGAAAGCACTGGAAAATGAACTAAGGCCCATTGATACTGCTTCCAAGAGCCATTCACAAGTATCAATTCTGCCAATGCTCACTAGTGGTTTAGGCTTGAAATCTGAAAAAAACTACAGATTCTTTCCTGCAAGTTAAGGTTTAGGAAATAATTAATTTGTTAACAAATTTTAACATGTTTCTGGACTACAGATTATGTGCAAAGCATAAGAGGAAGCAGTGAAATGTTTTTAATTCAACTTCCTTATTTTAGTTACCCAGCACAGTAGTGAAGCACAGCATACTATCACTTGTATCAATGATTCTGAGAAGAGCCTTGAAGAATATTGAGTACTGTTTGAATGAAGAAACTTGGCAAAAGTCAGAAATCTACACCCTGTCAGTGATGCAGGAATTCGTACAGCTGTACAGAGAAGCCATCAGCAAGGTACAAAGTAAAAAGAAAACTGGGGTCTAACATGAATTGTTTTGCAGCAGATAACTAACTACTCCTCTGCACTTTCTGCCCAAGTGATTGTGGCCTGGCAGCCAGGAGATAGTATCTTTGGGCAGAGGAGGGTAAGGCTGTGGGTTACAAGAAGTTAATGACTGGTGTGGTAGTAGACTACATTTCCTAACACAGCTGGCAATGCAGCTGTGGAAGTGCAGATAAAATTCTGTTGTGAGACAGATTTGTAACATTGACAGCTATTGTGCTGAAAACAAATTCCAAAGCAGACTTGGAAGCAAGTTCTCCTGGTTGAAGTAAATTTTAGCCAGCAGAGCTCACTTAGAAGTTACTAGGCAAGATAGCATTTGAATTGAAAATAACACCATGATGATGAAGAACCAAACATAAATTTTTCACAGGAAACTTCTTCAATAAAATATTCTTTCTAATATTTATGTTCTGTGGAAATGAAAGTACATTACTTGATTTCAGATCTTTTTCTGATTGTATACAAGGTCTTTGTGAAGAGCAGCAAATCCTCATGTTGACTGGTTGTGAATATTTTTATCACAGTAGCTTTGTCTCACGCAGAAGAGCTATTGCAATTTACTCTTTTTGCTTTTAGCTTTTACCAGACATGAATAATATAGTGGCTGTCTGGCAGTCCCTTCTGAAGCAAGGAAGAGAACACCACAGTGGTCAAGAGGAGAAAAGGGGAGGTGATGCCTCCACTGTGAAGGCAGTGACTGAGACAGCAGAAGTTGCTGAACAGCATGGTAGGCAAAGCAGGTGGAGTTACCCCTTCTTATGTGTATGTGAATGACAGTTATGAAATTCTTACCTCATATAAGGTTATTATCTGCAGCAGAATCCGGATGTCACTTGTTCATTTACTATTCATCTTTGCATTGTTCAGGTCTTTGGACAGTTTAATTCTGACCAGTGTCAGAATTGCCTAAGAACATGGTTTGACAAATAGGCTGTCATTGCTAGTAGGAGGTTAAGCAGTTTGACTTTCTGCTGTCACAGAATCTCAGAAGGGTTGATGGTAGAAGGAACCTGTGGAGAACATCTTGTCTAACTCCTCTGCTTAAACCTAGTTGCGCAGGACTGTGTCCAGACAGCTTTTGAGTATCTCCAGGCATAGAGATTTCACAACCTCTCTGTGCAACCTGTGCCAGTGCTTGGTCACGACCCTCACAGTAAAAAAGTGTTTCCTGATGTTCAGAGTGAACCTCCCCTGTTTCAGTTTGTGCACATTGCCTCTGGTCCTGCCACTGGGCACCACTGAAGAGAACCTGGCTGTGTCCTCATTGCACCTTCCTTTCAGGTGCTTACATACACTGATAAGATCCCCCTGAGCCTTCTCTTCTCCAGTTGGAACAATCCCAGCTCTCCCAGCCCTTCCTTTTAGAAGAAATGAGTGCCTTCATCATCTTTGTGGCCCTTCACTGGTCACTCTCCAGCATGTCCGTATCTCTCTTGTACTGGGGAGCCCAGAACTGGACACAGCACTCCATGTGTGGCCTCATCAGCACTGAGCAGAGAGGAAGGATCACCTCCCTCCACCTGCAGGCAGTGCTCTGCCTAATGCAGCCCAGGATACCATTCACCTTCTTTGCTACAAGGGCACATTGCTGGCTCATGTTCAATCTGGTGTCTCCCAGGAGCCCCAGGTCCTTTTCTGTCAAGCTGCTTTCCAGTTGAGCGGCCCCCAGCATGTACTCGCAAATGGGGTTGTTCCTCCTCAGGTGCAGGGCTCTGTAATTCCCCTTGTTGATTTTAATTCTCCTGTCTCAGACCTTCCTATTCTAGTAGGAGTACTTTGCAGCCAACAATTTAACAGGCAGGGAAGCTGATATGCCTGAAAAATAATTTTTTGAGGGATTTTAATTTTTTTTTAATTTTTTTAAGTAGGTACTGTGGCTGCACTAAGGTTTGTGATGCTGTAGCACAGGAGTAGAAACAGGCAAGTGTTGGAAGAGAGAGAGAGGGTTGGAGTGAAGGCTTAAGTTTTCCTCTCAAAACCAGTGTCCCTCCTGAAGGACTTGTTTTCATTGTCCCATTGCAGGGAACTGGAAGTTTTAGTACTCTTTGTAGCTTGGCTAGCAGCCTGCGATGTTCTGCTTATAGACTGAAGAGAAATCTACAGCCAGTTTCATTTCCTTCACAGGGCATTTTCCACAGTGAGACTTCCTGGAGCAGGGAGTTTTTCAGTGTATGTCCTTCTATGTGTAGCTTTGGGCAGCAAAAGAATTGTCAACACTGACACTCCAGGGCTCTTCACTGGAGGACTGCCTGCTGAAACCAGTGGAGCAGCTAATCTCTAAAGTACTGTAGCTGTAGTTTCTCTGCATACTAGGGTGATAATACTGTACCATTTGCTCTCAGCTCAGTTTTTTACAGCTTTGTTTGCACTGAGGCCACTAGGTAATTCTTTTTTTAGTGGGAGTTGAGACTCAGCAAACAAAGGTAAACTTTATGCATGGCATCCATCCAGTTCTTTATAGTTCCCTGAGGGAGATCCAGTTAATAGGAAAAAAGTAGGTATTAAAAAAGTTTTGGCTGTCCTTCATTTATTTTGTTTCCCTTCATTAGTGACAGGATAACAAGTAGCTTTTATGCATCCTCACGTTACAAACTAAAAAAATATTTAACTGCTGAGATAGCTTTTCCTAAGAAGTAAACAGCTACCTTAACTGGGGTTGATGTTTCTCTCATGTTTGTTGTCATCCTCTTTCCAAGAGGTCACATTGAGAAAGTGTATTTTGAAAGAGGGAGGGAAAGAAAATAACCTTTAACTGAAGCAATAAATTACTAATGAATTAGTGTACTGTCTCCTGCACTTCTACAGGCAAACCTGCCTGGCATTAGGTAAGAATAGCATCCCCGGAAACCATCAGCATGACCATATCCTTCCCTTCACTTTTTTTTCTCTTGTTCAGCCTTAAAGAGCAGTGGGACTGATTGGGTTCTTACAGTGAGTGTTAAAATGTTGAGGTTGTTTTTTGAATCAAATTAGAAATGACAACTGCCAATTTAAGCACTGAATAAGCTGATTTAGTTTTAGAAGTATTCATGTAGAAATGCTAGGGGAGGAAACTGGGGATTCCATGTTTGGTTGGGTTTTTTCCATTTGTTCTTGTTAGGAAGATAACTGATAATTTCATAGGCACGTCTACTGGAAATACAGTTAGTAATTCTCGTGGGATAATTGTAAACACTTATGTTTACATATGATTATGTAAACACTTTGTTTAGGTTCAGATGATGCTGAGACACTGTTTCTGAAAGCTGCACTGCTTCAGGTCATTTGCCTTTATCAGAAGGTTGTGCCCCACTTGGTAGCACGGAGCAACTTTGATTTTAGCAAGCTCTTGAAAGGTATGTGATGGGTATTTCTATTACCTTCATTGTTTTCTCTGGCTATTTACAAAGTCCACAGCAGAAAGGAATGTTTGCTTTTCTGTGTACATACAGAAAGAACTGGTTTCTAGAAGTAACCAATTTTAGTTTCTTCATTGCGTTTGACGTTTATTGTTGCTATTTCTGCAGTTCTCTGGCACTCTACTCTCCTAAATTCCATAGCTGCTCTGCTACACTCAGTTGTTTTAAGTGGTAGGTTGCACTACAGTTTTGCTCTTTGTGTGTCATATTCTTGCAAATATTTGGTCTTTATGTGGCTTTAATTCTAATGTTTCTGAGGAAGATTTATGTCCAACTTTTAATGAGATGTGTGTGTGTGATTCTCCTAGACTGAAGTCAACAATACCAACATAAGGAAGTTATTTCCAAACTCTTATTAGCCACAATGATGTTTGGTTGGTTTTTTTTTAATCAGGATAGGTCACAGAAAGTTTAGGGTGAAGGAGAAGCATGTACCAATTCACCAGTCTCCTCTGAAAGTCTCCTAATATTTGCTGTGTTTTGAATTAATTTATCATAGTTTGGTAGTTTGTGGGGAGAAGAACAGTGTTCTGTGTGGTGTTATCTCCCATGGAAAATCTATATGAGGAAGCACTTTAGCAAAATTGTTTTATTTTTGTTTCTGATGTCATGTTCACAGAGGGTATTCCTCTTCATGCGGTAGAAATAAACAGAGACGTTCTGTACCTGTACCTTAATGCAGCAAGACTGTGGGCAAGATCCTGCAATACTGCTTATGGTACAATAAATACAGCTGTTCAAAATTGAGACTGGAGGAGAGAGCAAAATGTTGTCTGGGCATCAGTGCTGTCTGAGGGCCACGAGAGCTTGTAGGCTACCCACCTAGAACAGCTATCTGTAGTTTAGTCACATCTGGGATGATGGATAGGAGTTAGGTAAATACCTTAATTAAAGTCTGTCAGGTAAAAAGGGGCTTTAAACAGCCCCCCTCCCTCTAAATCATCTGTCATATGTGTATGATTTTCCCTCCCTCTGTCAAACCATATTTAATTGGTTTGTATACTTGGTGACTTATCAAATCATATACCCTGTTTATCCCATTATTTCTTGCATCATTCTGCTTTTTTCAAAATGGACAAAAGGCAGGACACCTTTTCATGAAGCGCAGATCTCCTGGATGGTGTGTTTTGCTACAGTATCAAATAATCAAGTTGAACAGGCTGGAAAATAAAGTGGCATTCTCAAACAAATATAATGAAGTGAACCTGGATATTAATTTTGATGAAAGAAGATATGGTAGAAAATGATGGTGTAAATTAATCATGCAATTTTGTTCTCTCAGATGCCAGCTTGAGAGTTCTGTTGTTCCTTCGCCTCACCCTGATTAAAACATACACTCCAAAGGCAGCATGTTTTTCCACCTTGTAGCAATATGTTGTTTGAACAGCTGGTACAGTTTTATTGTTTGATTTTACTGTTGGCTGGAATTTATAGTGACTTTGAAAAATCTATTGTTCTCTCTAACATGGGCCACAAGATAGTACACAGACTGTGGAAAGCACAGTGACACTAAAGCTTTATACAGCTGATCTCTGTATTTAACTGAACTGTAGCTAAAGTCTGGGTAGGTCAGATTTGGAGCACACTGTGAGGATCCTGGCACACTTTGTGACCTCTAAGGTGAATAATTCTGAGGTTATGCCATAGCAGTTGTTGTGAGCAAATGATAGAAGTGATGTAGGGAGAGACATAAGGGTAAAGTTCCACTGCCTGTAGCAAATACTCTAATAGTATAAGCATTAAGATGTGTTACTGACATAAATTCTGTATTTTGGTCTCCAGTTTATCCATCCTCTTTACTTCCTGTAAGACACAGCTGATAGTAGAGATTTTGTATTCCATTGCACCAGTGATGGCTTGTGCAAGGGGCAGGTATTACTCACCACTCTGAGGGCTGGATTCCAGCCCTAGTTTGGCCAAACATAATCATAGTTTTTGGGGATCTCATGGTGTGAAAATTTGTGGACTGCCAGCTTATCTCACAGTGGTGGTTGAAGCCCTAAATGATTAATGTTCCTAAGATCTCAGGAAGATATACCAAAATAAAGTTGATTGATTGCGTTGCTTTCAAACCTTAGGTATCGTCACTGAAAAGGGCCTCCGAGAGGAGGTCCCTCCTGTGCTGCAGCACCATATACTGAAAGTGGCTTTGGAACTTCCTGCAAATAAATTTGCCTGGTTCAGAGTACAGGTAAGAGTCTTCAAAGCAAGCTTATGTTTCCTTGGCATGTTGCCCTCAAATCTTTACGTCTGCTACTGCCTAGTTTTAAACTAGTCCCAGTCCAGTTGCTTTAGGAGGTGACCCTTCCGTAAAACTAGCAGGAATTGTAGTCTTAGTACTAGAGAAGAATCCTGTCTGAGATTAAAAGCTTTTCTACAAGGACAGAAATTTTTGCCTCCCTGATGAGGGCTGGACAAAGTTCTTTCAGCTCTTCTTGTCTTTGGATACTGGCATGAGTGTCAATTTGCTGGTTTCCGCTTGTGTGGAAAGCCTGAGGTTTCAGTCCAAGGAAATGAGCTGCTGAGAGGAGCCATCCCACCCATTCCTAGGGGAAATTCTGACATATGTTAAGGTTGTCCCTCCTCTCCATAATTACTGGAAACATTCAGGGCCCCTGCTCTCTTCTGTACTGCAGCCTTGTAAAGTAAGAATGCTGTAGAGGGCTTGGTTTTTGTGTCTGGAGAAAGGAGTGGGCCTAGCTCTGGGGGGAAACAGAGACCCCCATGGGTCTTGTGACTGTGACCCTGCCTTTTAGGATATTTTCTGTCCCCTCCAGTTTGCCATAAAGGAAAAGCGAGGAAAGTTAAGAGCAAGCAGCGGAAAACCTGGAAATGGGCAAAGAAGCTACAGTATTTTCTTGTGGTTTTGCCCTTTGAGTATGGAGAGGTTTTAACTGAAAAGCGAAAAGCCAAATCTGGCAATATTACAGAGGGTTATGGTTATTAGACATCAAATGCAAGTCAGCGAGAAAAGTGGGGGAGATGGCAGAAGGATTGTCACTTGGTGTTTAGGTAGTGTTCAGCATTCCTGTGACTTGCATTGTTTTCCTTTTCTTTAGGGATCAGGCTTTTAAATTATTACGTTTCTTGTTCAGAGAGTACTTGTAGGAAATCTGAATTCCTGGAGATAACAGAAGTAGAAGGAGAATGGATGACTGGGGAGGAAGGTGGCTTTATCTCGGGCTCCTGTATTTTGGGCCCTTGTATTAGTTGGTGTTTCTGTTACTCCTCTCTTCTTCCACTTTCCAAAAAACAATTGTGCTGATTTTTGTGGCTCGCTGAATGCAAGGTAGTATAAATGATCCCATTCATTTCTGGCTTTGGTATATTTGGGCAAGACTATAAAATAATACATTACATACCTGCTTCAGTGCAACATAATCCTGTACAGTGTTGCTGTGCCAGGGAAATTTTAATATATTTTTCTTTTAGGATGTCTCTGAGACAGAGAAGGTATCTGGTGAAAAATCAGTGTTCTATTTACTGATGAAAATGTTTGTTACAAGTAACCATTCTCATCTGAAAATTTCAACCAGAAAACTGATCATCAAGGTAAGTGTTTGGTCTGCAATACTAGAATATTCACTATATCCCATTGGTCTGAAATTTCACAGTAGTACATTTTTTTTCTTAAAGCACATACCTTTACTCTGTGTAGTTGTGTGGAATTTGCTGTCAGATAACTACCTGTTAAATAATTATTGTACGAAAGTAAATGCTGTCAACTGAATTTGCTGCAACAGTTGACAGAATAGTAAAGACAATGTCTTTAATGTTTTCCCCTCACCAGCTGAATTAATTCTGATACTGTAATAAATCAATGTACTTTGTGCCTGCAAAGGTCTTGACATGAATCAAGAAGAGATTATTTTTTTATTTTTCGTCTTCCAAGCCCTGAACAGGGCTCCTTGAGAACTGTTCCATACTAATAGTGGCATACAAGTTTGAATACAGCTTTATGCATTTAGTTTCTGTGTTTAGCTTCAGTCACAGGGTGCAGTTGTAATGTTCAAGGCACTAAACCTAAAGTTGGAGTGATTGAGTTAGGTTTTAGTTGCCCTTGATCCCTGCAGAGGGTTAAAGTCAGGCTAACTTTGTCTCACAGTAACTAATATCTCAATCAAAAGCTACTCAGTACAGTTTTTCTAGTGTATTTAGATTCTTTTGCTGAGTAGAGATGTGGGCTGCCTGACTCATTCTTGTTTCCTCTTTTAGATTTAGTCCATTTAATTTTCTCTGAAGAGAACACAGGAGCAGTGAAGTTAGGGCAGTTATGTCAGCAGAAAGGCTGCTAAGAATAGATGTTAACGAGTGTGTTTTGCTTATTTTTCAGCACAGTGCTATATAATCGGAAGGCATGTTTTTGGATTTCACATTCTGTTCCTGCCTGTTTTCATGAGAGCTGCAAGTGTATTTTTACTTCGAGACTGCCAAAAATAGTCAATTATTTAAAAATGAATCCTTTCCCCCCCCCTTCTTTAAATGAATTATCCTGTCAGATTCTTGTAAGCAGCAGTGTTATTTTTGTAGCTGCTGGTGGTGTACACAGAGTAAATGTAGAGCAAATGAGCTGTGATAGCTTCCTTTTTTTGTGTGCGTATGCATGGAAACAAAGGCACAGATTCATCCCACATAACTACAGTCATTTAGCGTAGGTGCTAGAGTTAGGAAGCTGGTGAAGGTTTCTGCTCTTGTTGAGAGGGAGGGTCAGACAGTTCTACCATCATGCAGTTCATATTGCCTGTCATCTGGATTGTCCTTCAGACAGCTTCTCCTCCTTCCTCTCCCTCCTCTTCCTTTTTAATTTTACAGACACAGCATAGGGTCACCAAGTTCCTAATTTAGGCACCTGAGATAAGGGGATGAATTTAGAGTGCATGAAAGTAAGCAAAAATTTTTAAATATGTTAATGACTGATACTTGATTGTGGTAAAATTGTGTCTACGTCACCACCTACAGCATCTGTGAGTATGCCTACACTTTTCTCTGGACTTTGCTGTGGTCATGACTCACTGTCCATTTATTTGACTGTTTACCCATCTGCTCAACTCTTCTAAGAGCAAGTAGCCTGATTTAGATTTTAATTAGCAGTGGTTTTCCTTTGTATTACATCAGTAGTTTTCAAAAGCCCCCCTACAAGGCTCCTTTTAAGTGTATGTTGCCTTTTTTTTAATTGCTGTAATGATATAAAGATGTACACTCCTCTTAAAGCATTATAGCTTACTCCCCTGATATTATAAAAGTAAGATTTACTAAGGTGGGGGTAATGAATGCTCTGTGTCCAGTCAGCTTTGACCTCAGTAGGGTTTTTGCTGACTGACAACACAAGGACTTCACAGAATCACAGAAGGGTTGGATTGGAAGGGATATTAAAGCTCATCTAATTCCAGCCCCCCTGCCATGGGCAGGGACACCTTCCACTAGACCAGGTTGCTCAAAGCCCTGTCAAACCTGGCCTTGAACACTGCCAGGGATGGAGCAGCCACAGCTTTTCTGAGCAACCTGTTCTGTGATTCTAAGATGCGCTGGCCCTGGCTGTGGCTCTGTGCTGCAGCTTCCTGTCTTCTGTGTCCCTGTACGATAGGCCTTGAGGAGTGAAGCAGCAGAGGGGCTGCTGCAGTGAGCAGCATTGTAGGTAGCGCAATGGCTTCTAGGTCTGGTGCACACTGCCCCAGCATGTGCTGGATTCCTGTGTCTCAAATGCTTGTAGAAATCTTGTATTCCAAATGCATAGACTGCACGTTCGTGTGAGATCCCTGTGTGCTCGCTGCCCAGTCTGTTGAATTGGTGTTTGCAGCATACTTGAAAGGAGTACATAAGGGATCCATCCCATACACATGGTCAGTGTGGGAGCAAGAACTAAGAGGAGTTGTACTGAATTTGTGCAGCAGACAGCAGGTGAGAGGAAGAGAGGCTCTGAGAAGACAGGGACAGAAGTTGCTCTCATCTGGTTTTCCCAGTTATGAGAGGGTATACAGTGTTTTGCCTCTTGCTTTGGTCATTCATAATGCCCTCCTTTCCCTGCCCCAGGACTGCTTCTTGCCCTGTTCCTACAGTGCCTGTGCATGTCTGGCAGAGCTCAGTGGGTTTCATTCATCAGCTGTAACAGAGTCGTGCCTCAACTCTGATTGATCTTGCTGAGAGAGCAGTAAGAAAACAGCCATGATGAAGACACTAGGCCTTGGTCCTTGTCACAGTGAGGCCGGTTGATAGTCTTGGGAGATTTTGTTTTTAAAAAATGTGTTTGTTTTTACCCTTCATTCTGCAGTTTGAGTGGTCCTAGTGAGTGGGAATGAGGCCTCTTGAACTGAGGGGTGACAAGAAAATGACAAATATTTTTCATCAACCTGCTCTTCTGTTTTTCTTTCCAAGAAGAAGAAAACATGAAGTTGCTATGCTAAAAGATCTATGCTTTTTTCTGGCTTTTGTATTTTAGTGATTTTGGAGTTTTTAATCCCTCCTTTGGCTTTCTGGACAGGTTTTACGTGACAGTGGGGTGTTTGAGTACACATGGAAGGAACTTTCAGTTTGGCTGGAACACTTGGATAATACAAAAGAAGACAAAAAGGAAGCAGTGATTCAATTTTTGGAAAGGGTAATAACTGTTCAAATTAGCTGGATAAACAATGCCAAGAATAGAATTAATGGAAACTAATTATTTTGTAGCTATTGTTGAGAAACCTGTCAAAGATCAGTAAACAGATTCTGAGAGAAGCGATGTTTGTAATTCTTTATACAGAGCTGACATCTTTCTTGTGTTGGGTGGGAGGACAGTGAAATGATTTGTAGGAAAATTAAATCCAGAAATATAATTTGTTATTACAGCATTGTTGATAAAAGGGTAGAGTAGGTGCCTGGCAATAATTATCATACCTGCCAAAATTATCAGACCTAAGTAGATAATCTTTTACAAGAAAAGTTGACATTTCCTGTTTACTTTTCAGGATGTTGAATGCCCAGTGCTTCCTTTTCATTGTGGTTTCCTCATGGAATCAGTATGTGGTATACTTTGGGTACAAAATTGCAGTGGACATTTCTTTATGCATCAGACCCAGTGTCCCATATACAGCAGTAACCATAGGCAGATTCCTGTAGAACTATATAGAAGCTGTCCTCCTAAAACTTTCCAAGCTTCCGAACACTTTTAGCACGTGGTCTTTCTTAACAAGATGTGGTTCCTGTAGACATGATAGCCTGTGTACTTATGTTTCTTTCTCAACCTTTGTTAACAGATCCTGTTGAAACTTGTGACCAACCCCTATCCGTATACAGATAAAGCAGCAGACCTTGTTCAGGAAGCCAGTATGCTCCAAGTTAATATGCTCAAACAAGATTCTGATAATGTCAGCATCCCCATCTCTCACATTGATGGTATGTGTCCATTCCCTTAACAGCAGAGAATTCCAAGATTTTGTGCTAAATTTTCTAGCAAACTGAAGACTGATAACTGTAGAAATACTGCTTAAGTAAGGACCTAAAGGATTGATCTCTCTGGTTGTATTTAGTATTGGAAGTAAAAGTCTGAATTGCAGAGTTATTGTTTCACCCCCAAAAGTAATTGCTGATGCAGTTACACCATTTGAACAGTATTTCAAATCTCTCTTCAGGCCCTTGCAGCAGCATTTCCTGACTAAAATGAAAGCAATTAAAATTCCTTTCTCTAGGGCTGCTCATATCCATTCATCCAGGAGCGAAGGGCTGGGGTGCCCAGAGAACTTTTTTACTCCCAGGCACCCATCTAGATTTTTGCTGCTTCTGCTTTCTGGAGTCGCAGCATTACTGCAGACAGATTCAAAATTATGCAGATGTAGACACTTGGACAACTTACCATGCACTAACTTACCATAGCTCTTCTGCTGTAACAGTCCATGTGATTTTACGGTACATAAATATAAGATAATCTGCTTCTGCTTTCTGGAGTTGCAGCATTACTGCAGACAGATTCAAAATTATGCAGATGTAGACACTTGGACAACTTACCATGCACTAACTTACCATAGCTCTTCTGCTGTAACAGTCCATGTGTAGGATTTTACGGTACATAAATGTAAGATAATTGAGGCAGTTTAAGTACCAGATGGATTAGTTCCCTTGAGTTGACTGTATTGCAGAGGTATAATGCCAGCCACAGAACACATTGCATCTTCTTCATATGTTGAAGATGTCTGACTCTTTCCTGACCAAGATTTGGTTCCCTGGCCATGTAGAGCTGAGAAGCTCTTTAAGGACTGCTCAGGATGTTCTTTTAATAGGGAAGCGGCTGCTTCCTTCATACTTTCCCGTACACATTTCCTGTCACTGTTATGCTCTGATAGTCCTTACCTAATACCATCATAATAGCAGCAGGTGATGCACCTTTTTCTTTCCTTTACTTCTGTCAGCTGGACAGCAGTGTTGAAAGGCAAAAAGTAAAGTTAAGCACACAGTAAGAGGCAGTGATTTTTACATTTGCATTTACCATTGCATTGCTAGACAGATGTGTCTCTTATCCTTTTTTCTGCTTTGGGAATTCAGAAGCTGCCTTGTATTCCTTTAGTGTTGGATTCTACCTCTGTTGTCTTGTAGTTAGTCTGAATCCTCTGCTTACATTTTTTTTTTTTTTAATTTGCTTAATAGATGTCCTGGATATGGTGGATGTCCTAATTGAGGGCAGTGATGACTTAGATGAAGAAATTGGGTTCACTTTAAATGAAGACATGATTATCCAAACATTTCCATTCAGTGCTGTTGTTCCTGCTGCATTGGAAGCCAGGAATATGTTGTTGCTTCAGACTGAAAATGGAACAGGTACAGACTTTTTTTTGTTTCTGTGTATTGTCAATTATAGTGGAGTTGAAGTGGGATCATTTTTACCCAGTGAGCTCCTCAAGAGATTTTATCTTCATTGCAAGCAGAAGGAGGAGCAGATTGATGGTGCTCCCTGCTCAAGAAAAGCATTAAAGCTTATGTGGTGCTTCTATCCTTTTTTCCCTGACCCTAAATAAGCTCACTCTTGGTTTTTTGAGTAGGGAAAATCAGTGGAAATGCAGGCATTCTAAAAATTGTCATTTGACTCTAAGGAGCCCCTGCTGTGGGAAAACAAACTTGCCCAGGTTAGGAAAAGAGCCTACCTTTCCCCTGTGAGATGCAGGGAAGTGGAGGATGCAAATGACCTCCAGCTCTGAGCGTAGTATAGCGGGAACTGAGGAGCAATGCAGACACTGTCCCTGCATTGACAATCTTGCCTGGAAACAGCTGTACTTTAAGAACAGAGTATTTTAAGAACAGAGTGTGCAGATCGCAAGAGGAAAGTGGTTTCAATGGCTATAGGCAACTCTTCCACTGAGACCAGTCAGTAGGGAGAGAGGACTGGATTGTTGAATAAAATGATGCTTTTTTCTACAGAGAATTTCTTCAGAGATGTAGCTCCAGGGGTGAATGTTTCAGAGTTCTACCACCTCCTTGACACAATGATTAGTGGAATGAGGAGTCACAGGGGCAGCGATTGGCCTCAGCAGGATTTGCCAACGCCACAGAACCTCACGAAGTCCTCTGTATATTTGGCTGTTGTGTAGCACATGGGGTGGAACTGAAAGTCCCAGTTCTGGAAGAAAATCCTCCATATTTAACCAGTGTGTGTTAAACCTGGCTGTTTCCCTCTTCCCCCCCCACCTCCACCCCAGTACAAATCAGTTCTCTTAGGTGGTGCTTGGCTGGGGTCCTTACCCATCAAAATACAGACAAGTTTAGCACAACACAGTGAAGATGGAGTTAGTTTTTTTGCTTGTCTGGAAGGAAACAGGCCAACCTGAGCAATTATCTTGAAGTGGTTATTATTTACTTCAACAAGGAGTACTGTATGGGGGATTTTTCCAGATACCTCAGAGGGTCAGAAACACTTGTCTAGTTTATCACAAACACCTTTTAATCCTATTCAGTACTTTTCTAAATGGTGCTGTTTGGCCCTAGTGCCCGTGCTCATGCAGATTACTTCTGTTGACAGAAGTTTAATTTTTTATTTTGCTTTTCTAGGAGCACATATCGTAGAGTATCTTGTTGCTGTTTTCACTGACCTCCTGCACTCTCAGAGAGAACCCCTTGCCCTCTGCTTGATGTTCCAGCTCTACGATAAAGATCTGCAGTCCCTGAAAGTTTCTAAGTATCCTCAGCTCTACCAATTTAACCAGTACTATAAACTCTGGATACCCCAGCAATCTCAGGAACCTGTGGTATGGAATACCTGAAGTCATTTGAATGCTTGGGCCAGTATTGCTATAAAACATCACAGTGGATAAAGGTTACATTTCCATCAGAAAGTGCATTTACATTGCTTCTTGATCACACTGGGGCACAAATTTGCTCAATGGCTTTTCTCTAACAATGCAAAAGGTCTTTGTTGTGGTTGGGAAGTGAAGCCAGGGCTTAAGGGATGTACGCAGTCACCCAGACTACAGCTCCTCATCAGGCACAGTGTAGCATCATGTGTCTTGTGGCCCGAGGAGCCAGTTTATGGTGGCTGAAGTTCACCCAGGTGTGGGTTGGGAATACATGAACCAGCAGCGCTAGGTGCTGATACGTATTAATGTTAACCAAGCAGTGACCATGTGCAGATTCCCCATGGGACACTTCTGAATAGCTCTGTGATAGCAGGACTGTACACATGTGCTCCTGAAACTTCAGTCCCAGTTTCAGAACAGAACTCATTTCAAAACAAAGGGAGCTGAAGAAACTTCTGATTCATTTTCATTTTTATTCTTCTCTTTTTTTTTTTTTTCTCCATTTCGAACAGTTTAAAAAACCCAAAGAGGCATGCAAAGAACCTGCTGTGGCCCTGGATTCTGTATTTACAACTTTGCTAAGGAAAGCCTATGAGAGAGGAAGCAGTACCTTACTGGAGGACGATATCCAGGCAAAACTGAGAGACTTGGCTTCCCAGCTCCCGCCTGAACAGCTTTTGTTAGCAGTAAAGCATGTGTTGCTATACCTGAAATCCGCAGTGGAGAACTTTGGCAGCGTAAGAGCAATATTGTGATGATATTGGGGTTTACTTGTTTTGATGCAGAAAGTACAAATTACTTGGCTGTTAAAACTTAAGAATCCAGTTCTTCAGCTTTTTTGTGTACTCAGCCCTCACTGAGCCTGTAGAGCACCAGACAAACTTGTATCTAATTTGTAAACAAATATCTGTCCTTCTAATTGTTGAGGAATTTTGTATTTGCTTTGCATGGGTTACCTTACTGATCTGTGCATAGTGCAAATATACTCCAGATTTAATGCAGCTCCTGGGCCTCCATAAGAAGCCTTTCCAGAGGGTGAAACTCATAGTTTGTGTTACAGCATAAGTCTAAGTATAGATGAAAATCTGTAAATATTTATTTGACAACCTGACACTTTTCTTAGAATCAGATTTCTACAGGGAGAAGTGATTCCTTACTCCAGAAAAGGCTGTAACCTAGGAAGTTCTAAGTTGATTTCTGTTCAGTTTGAATAATTATCCTTCTGTTCCCATCCTTCTCTTTTCTCAACTTCTGAGGTGTCTGTATTTTCACAGCTTAGTAAAACTTTTGGTCCTCGCCTTATTGTCCTCTATGTGGACCTGCTGAACAGCTTGTTGTGCCGGGGAAATCAGATAGAGTTGAGTAATCAGCAGAAGCGAGAAGAGCATCAGGCTGAATCAGATCTCTTCATGGATGAGGAATCTCTGATTACAGAGGAGTCTTCAAATGACAAGGTACCAAACCCCTTGATGCACAGGCCAGAAGCTCACCTGTCAGTAAACTTTGATTTGATTTATTCTTTAGGGAAGTAGTCCTAAGTTTTGCTGAACCATTAATTAAAGCAAATGATCTTAAACACGAGCAATTTTGAGTACAGATTAAGTTGCTATATTTTCACCAATCACCGAAACATGGAACTGGCTAAACATGACAGAGAACAGGAGATGTAGCAGGGATCAGGTTTTGTGAGTGGGGATTTCTGGGATTTCTAGCATTTCAGTTAGGTTTAAAGTGTGTCTGTCACACACTTGCTATATAATGTCTTGAATTGGACTTTACTGCTTTGTAGAAGCATTACTACAGCTTTTGCCAGGTCCTTGGAAGGGCAGTGAGTGAACAGAATATCATACACTGTGTATTTCACAGAGTTGTGTTGAATGGAAACAGCTTGATGCAGAGAGATGCTGTTAAGGTCTAGGAGGAGGACTTCAGAACTTTGAGCATGTGGTCCAGCAGTTGCAATACTGCTGTGCCTGGAGATTGGACCAAGCTGCATCATCCATAGACTCACCATCTCCTGACAGAGATGACTCACCTTTGCAGAAGAATTCTATTCCCCAAGCCTTGTGTAAGGCCTGGTTATGAAAATCATGTACCTGGAGGAGTGAATTTTTGCCCGCATTTCATGTGTTCTGCGGATTTGTGGAGATTAGAATAGAATTGTATTGACAAACTCCAGAACATACAGTTTTCTACTGGGAATGTGCTCAGACATGTAGAGAATGTTCAGTGGAGGCGTGTCTCCCACATCATAAATGTTGGAAGAATGGTATTTCTGTGCTTGTAATTTGTTAATATTTTTATCCTCCGACCAGTTAATAGACAATTTCATGTTCAGGAACTGTAATTAACAAGCTCTGGAATATAGGCAGATGAATGATTTTATTTATTTATTTTTTTTCCCTGAACTATAATTATCCATTCAGTGATACTGTTGCAACCATTTGTTACAGACACTAGAAGATACACTGGTGTTGATTTTCAGACATCCTACACTGGAGAGTTGGTTCCTGGCTTTAGAACAACGTTCTCTTCCTCCATCCGGTTTAAACCCAGTCGCTGTGAAGCTCCTGTCAGCTCACCTCAATTCCAGTGTGCTTCAGCTGTTGAAAACGGGTGCCTCGATCCTGCAGAGCATGGATCACAAACATTTGTTATCCAAGTATTTTGAAGCTATCACAAAAAGTGTCCTGAAAGAACTACAGGCAGCACGGAAAGACAGAAGCCAGGTCTCTGCCAAGAAGTCTCACCAGCTGGAGGCTCTGGAGGAGTTGCATATATACATGGCTGCAGCTCAGCTGAAGGAGATCACTTTAACCATGCTGCGACTTCCTGAGATGAGCTTGACTACTCAGAAGTCTGAAAAATCCCCTAGAAAAGGGAAACAGTTGAGCTTCTATGGAGAGATTTTGGTGCAGCTCCTCACAGAGAGCTACCAAAGGCAGCCCCAACAAGGAGAACTACTGTTGTCCACAGAGCACATTAAAGCTTTGGGAATATTGATGTCAGTATCAGCCAGCAAAGATTTGGAGAAAGTTTTTCTTCAGGTGCTCCGTAGCGAGCCAGTCCTTGCACATGCAGTCAGTGTAGAGGTGCATGTTCACTGCCTTAACCAGAGGTCAGAAACTTCCCTTGCCATTGTGGGCATGCTGATAAAACACTGTAGGACTCACCTGCTGCAGTTCGAGATGTGGTGTCTGAGCAGTGCCACTGGAAAGTACCTCAAGAAAAACATGGAGAGCTTTCTTCCACTCATTAATGTGTATTTGCAATGCAGAGACCAGTATGATTTCACTCGACCTTCCTCAGGTAAACCCACAACTGATCCCTGTGATTTGGGAGACCAAATTCCCAGTGTAGGCTCTACTGGCCTTGAAGTCTTGGATCCTCTGCACAATAAGTAGAGGTGATAAAATTTATGTGTCTGACTTATAATGATTCTCTTATAGATACCTCTGCAGCATAAAAGGTAAAGGAGTGTAGTGAAGGTTGGCTGTTAGACTGAAGCAAACTACTCTTACAGTTGCTTTGTCCAATTTTCTCTTTTGAAGCTGTTATTTAATACTTTGTGCATGTGAAAATCTGTCTTCATGCTCATCTTGGTTTGGTATGGGAGGTAGAAACTTTTTTCTCGGGCGTAGATAGAACACTGTCTGGTGAGTGGAATGCCATAGCCATATGGTTTTGTAGAATGTAAGCTTTCACTTTCACAAGTGTAAGAATCCAAAACTTTCTTCTAAAATAAATCCCCAAATATAGCTTCCTACAGTAATGCCTTCCCAAGCTGGCAGTTCAAAACTTTCCAAATCAACAGCAGCATTAAATTGACAAGACTGTTACATTTTCTAGCAGAAAAATGATGAGTTAGGATTCAACTTGACAGAACAGAATCACTTTGATTTTGTTTCTCTTATTGCACAGAAATGTACATAGCAACAGAAACAAGCTGACTGTAGCTGTTGGTGGGGAAGGCTAGCTCTATCTAGAAGTTAAAGTAGGGAAAATACCATGCCAGGACACAGGAATGTAGAAGATGGTTAAAGAACTAAGCCTTTGTCTAGCACCTAATGCACACCAGTGGTTTCATGCTTGAACACTAGAAGGGCAGAGTGCTGTCTGGCTGACTTGATTTATAAGGTCTCTGTTAGCTGTCTGTTGACATGAGAGAAAATTTCCTTTGAGGCCATGGTCAGAGAATTGGTAAAGTTTCATCCTTCCTGACATGCAAGGACATGGCTTCTTATCAGGAAGGTCTGCTCTGCTTGCCCATGTCAGCTGTGTAGCAAGCAGTTGTCTAGTACATAGTCTGAATACTTCCTAGTAATGCTATGGACTAATACAGAGTGCACTTTGCTGTAGCAGATTAAGAGCTACTGCAGTATCATTTCCTAGGAACTAAGTAATCTGGGCCTTGATTGGAAACATGATTTAGGATTTTTGTACTTTTAAGCCTGTTGTTGCTTAACGCACTTAGATGGTGGAACTTGTGCCCCTGTTCTCTCCCAACAGTTGTCTCGGCTGTTACACCTGTCTTGAGGAAAGCTCTGTGGAAGGAGCTGTGTGCTGTACTTCAAGACAGAGAAGCATCGCATGAGACTACTATGAAACTGCAAGTTCTTTCAAAGTTGTTGCCATCTTCAGGAAGCAAAGGGCTGAGAAACCTTATTGACCAGCTTCCTGCTGCTCTAGAGAAAGCAGAAAATAACAAGAGGTAGGCAAATCCAACTGTCCTGTTTCAGGACTCAGTTTGTTCCATAAAGTGTTGTGATAGGTATGCATGAAGGCAAATACTGTGCACTGTAATAGCATTCTCTCCTCGGAGAATCTGTCACTTTATGCTTTGGCAGCAACTCCAATACATTTTTAACGATACATATATTTAACATACATATATGTTATTTATTTTACATATATTTAACGTAACATGTATTTAACAATACATATATTGTTAAAAATATACAAAAAGCATGTCACAATCTTAAAAAATAAATATCTTTTTGCAGTTGGACAGTGGCAGATGCCGTATCTAGAGTGCTTGAAAACTCTGAAGAGCTGCATTCCTGGAGGAGACAACTGTTATCAGCCTGCATGAAGGGGTTAATTGTCATGTACAACAGCAGTAAAGATGAAAGCCAGCAAGAGATTGAGAGGCCCATGCTGCTGAGGCTAGAAGAATTATTGGTGAGGCTTCTTTCTATCTGCATTGGCAGAATGTGACTGCATACATGTAGTGTTGTGCTCTTGTATCTTGAATAAATACAGATTGAACTTTGTTTTCTATTTTAGAAATTATGGCTTCTATTGGCTTTTAATAGCTGTTGCAGAGTTAGCTTAGCTCTGCTAATCCTTGATAAGAAGCAGTTTTCAGTTGTTATTGATGGCTTTCTACTAACAGTCTCCTTTGAAATTCAAAGTTTGGGGTATTCAGGAGTTAAAAATCAAACGTTGCCAATGGATGTTTTTATTTAACCAAACAAAAAAACCCCAAAGTGATAGAGGCATTTCTGACAAGATCCACCTGCCATGCCCTCTGAAGTCTGTGACAGAAATCCAGTTGATCATAGATAGAAATCCAGACTTCGATCATGAAGAGCACTACTTGATCGTTCTGCCTGTACTGCTGGGTTTTTTGTAGTTCAGTAAGGTAAGCAGATATGTGTAAGACATAAAAATGAAGGTCCCTGCAGGAAGCAAATGCCTTTGACCTCTTGCTGGCTTCCGGTGAGACCCCCTTTCAGGACATGACTGATTGTGCAGGACAAGTCTTGCAGGACTTGAGGGCCACCTTTTAGTGTAGGACAAGTCTTGCAGGACTTGAGGGCCACCTTTTAGTGTTCACCCTAATGGTGTTCACAGGTCTGATGAGGTTAGGACCTACCGTTTACTGGGCCTGTTGGCATGTGCAGCTGTCAGCCTTAAAAAATTATTATTGAATATTACGGTTTATAGCATTTCAGGGATGATCAGTTTTTGTAAAGAACATGTACATGCAGCCACCCTTGTCTGCCACATGCAAAGGCTGGTTAGCTTAAACATGTTGTAGGAACACAAAAACCTGAGTCTCATGCTGTGACTTGCTGACTTTTTATTCCGTTCACACTTCATGAGTGTAAAGAGTTTCAAGGTTTTGGTACCTACAGACCAGCTTGCTTTTTAATTGCATACAATCCATATGCTCCCTTGCTCCCAGGACTGACAAAACAAGGCTTGCAGTTTCATTTCAATCGGTGTAAGATTGTATTATCTAAGAGCTTTCTTTCCTGTTATCCTTTGATTATTCCACCTGAGTGTTTGGCTTGCATGTTGTTAGTGTGTCTGTTGAACACAAATTGCTGATATTAACGATCAGTAGAAGCTCTGTGTACTAAATGTAAAGAATCTGTTTTTACTTCCTACACGCACAGCACTTAGTTGAAGAAGTAGACCCAGATGACTGGTACAGCCTTGTGAAGGCAGGACTCAAGTAAGTAATTTTGAGATGCACCAGAGGTGCTGTAGGAGGTTCTGTTCACTTGGCCTTGTCCTGTGTTATGCTGGAAACACCCTATCTCCCTTAAACTCAGTCAGATTTGAAGATGCTCTTTGTTTCATAGGATGCAGTTTGTGTTGCATCCACTGGCTTCATTGGAGCCTGAACCTGCACAACTGCAGGCAGATTTGGATTTTGTGCTCCAGTGAGCTTTACCAGCATAGCTAACTGGATAGCTGGACTGTCTTCTTTTCAACTGGCATAAAAAAGCTTTATGCTTATATGAAGAAGAAACTTATTTTCTTTCTAGTTAATATACTTACTAAATACAATTCATACGAAAACAGAATCAGATCTTTCACCTTTAAATGTAAACAATTTAAATAAAAGGAATAAAAAATACTATCAGATAATCTTATCTTCTGTGGAGGTAGAAGTATTAATATGAAGGGTTGCTGTCTGAAGTAAAGTTCTAATCCTTATTAAGATCAGTGCAGCTACAAGTGTGACTCTGTGTATCAACACAGTCCTTTATACAGTGTATCAACAACTCCTTTATTTTTTTATGATTGGATACCAGTATAGCTTAAAAAGAATTAAAATAGCTTAGGGAGATGTGGTGCATGTGTTTACGTTGTTATAAATCTGCTTTTATTTTACTAAGTTGGCTTTCTTTGCAAAGTTCTCATTTCTTAAACAGATTTTTTTTCAAGCGGGTTTCTGACTTTTCTGTGATCCTTGCTTCTAAAGGTACCGCTACAGAGATGAAGCATTTTTGAAAGTCCTGAACACTGCTATTCAGTTATTATACAAGAAAGAATCCTCACTTAGTCAGAGCTTAGTCAGGCTCTCCAAACTTCACATGATGGTCACGCAGCACTCTCTATTTTTGTCAACCATACTGAGGTCAAGAGAAGAAGATGGCACGAACTTCCAGACAAGAGGTAGTTTTTATCTTCTTTTTCCCTTTAACTATATTTAGTAATCTTGTCTTTCTCACATTATATTCTATCCATCCAGTATCTATCCACCTACGTATACTTGCAGAGCTATTAAACAATTCCAGAATATTAGCATTTGGTTTTAAGTTCTGCCTCTGCTTGGATCCAAATGTTGCATTCATTTTATCACTGCTGGTTTTAAATGCGTATGTTTCTGAAACTATTGGAAAGATGGGTTTAGGGTTGGTTTGGTGGGTCGGTTTTGGTTTTTTATAACTGTTGAAATCTTGAATTGATTCTTTTGTTTCCTGTGAGGCTGTTAGTCTACGATCACTGAAGTGCATATGAGTTCTATTAGAAACATGTGTGACATTTAAACCTATTTTAAAATAGGTAGATGCAGAAGATTTTAAGTTGATTTTGCAAGTTGTATCAAAACTGTTTATTTAATTGATAAGTACTTTATATTGCAAATTGTCATGAGGAATATCCTTCCATTAATAATATATATTGAGTGCCAATTCATGGGTAAGATTGGCTTTGTTTCTTTGTCTCTGCCAACTGAAATATAACCTGACCTTGAACCAGTCATTTAATCTACACACACCTCAGCTTCTTCCCACTATAGAGGGTGTTGAGATTCAGTGATTGAAGGAGCCATACAAGAAAAGGGGAGGACGATAACAAATTTTGTGTATATTAGTGAGCAGCATGTAAAAAACTTTATATCACCTGAGAAGAGCAAAAAGCTCTTGCGAAGTCACAAGTTTAGTGACATTTAAAATAAGTAATAGATTTTGCTGTTCACTGTATGTGTTCTACCTTTTAAAGGTATTACTGTAGAGCAGCAAGATGGATTTTTTGAGGCTACTAACCTCAGTAATTCAGAAGCCTGGTGTCAGGAGTGCATTCATTCAGGCTCTTGTCTTTATGATCTTCTTTGTTTTGACATACATTTTATATTCCTGTAGGTACTAGGGGGAAAGCCTGTGCCTTTTTCAGATACTGGGAGTAAAGAAATCTGGATTCAGGTCTTGAATCTGCCACAGATGCCCTATTTGTCTTTGAGTAACCTGATCACTTACTTGATCTGTCTCTCATCTATATAGAGAAAGTATATGTGTGGGGGGTATTTATATATGCACTGTCCAACTGAGAGAGCAAAAAAGTTAAATCTGTGTGTTTATTTCAGAGGCCTTGGTGGATATACTGCTGACAGTTGTGAAACTCAGCCCTTCTGTCTGTGAGAGCAGTCACCTTGCAGTGTTGCTGGGTTCCTACGGGGCTACTCTGAGCACTATAGGTAAGTGTGTCAGCTTGGGAAAGGTACTTCTTACTAGATGTGATTTTCGTCTTCATAGAAGACTGACTTCGGATTTCATCTTGGTTTTCAGATCAGAAGGTACTTCTACTGCTTCAGTTATATGAGAAGAATAAACAAAGTCTCATAAATTCCAGGTAAGCTGACCACCTTCCTTTGTTCGACTAACCACATGCAAATAAGCAGTCTCATAACTGGCACTTTTCCAACGTCTTATTTTTAACTGATAAACAGTGATCAAGGTCAAACCTAGAGATGAATGCTGCTCTTGGAAACATTTTTCCTATGTATTTCCTATCTTTAACATAGTTTTTGTGTGTTGCCCAAACTTTTGGGTGTCTGTGGGTTGGGTGAGGTACTGTTTCATTTCAGTAGTCCCTCACTCTCCACTATAGGGATTTCTTCACAGATGAAGGCCAAAGCTCAAGTTGCTAGTTTAGGACTCCTTCCCATTGCCTGTTCCCTTGATACAGGATTCACCACTCAGCACAGCCCTTGGCCTTTTCAGTGATCTTGCCCCTGTATGCATGGTATTCAGCTTTGCTGGAGAGTAGAGGAATAAGCCAGTGGAGGAGGGTTGTATAATCTCTTGCATTAACACATGCATTGTTAGCTTTGGGGTACTAAGATGGTATCATAGAATCGCTTAAGTTAGAAAAGACCTTTAAGATCATTAAGTCCAACCACAAACTAAACACTGCCAAGTCCACCACTAAACCATATCCTAAGCACGACGTCTACGTGTCTTTTAAATGCCTCCAGGGATGGTGATCAGTGCCTTCCTTGTCTTTCACCAGTTTGGACTGTAGCTGTCCTTATAATGCAACCTTGCAATACGTCTACATGCTTCATAAGAGAAAACTATGTATTTTATAAAATAATCAGTTTACTGTGCCCAAGCAGTCCACAGTAAAGTCTGTTGCTAAACAGTTCTTACATACAGTGATGGTTTTGGCCTGCCTTGCTCAAATGCACTTTTCTAGTTTTGAGGTATGGGCATAAATATTAACAGCAGCGCAAGAGCACTGTCTCAGGCAGTTGGAGCAGGACTGGACTCAGAATTAAGAACCTTCCTTAGATTTTTCTGAGGGTATAGATATCCTTGCAGCCTGTGAAGGGTGACAGGAAATGAAGGTTCTTGTTAGCAGGGAGCTGAATTGGCTTCCATAAGCCAGGGCTCTGGCACTAACCACATCTTGCATAAATCTTCACCAAAAGTGTTTGCAAGTGGGAGGGTGTTACATAAGGGGGAGACTGATTTCAGAGGTAGTTAGGTCCCAAAACTTTTGTAGCCTTTTTAAAGGAGAAACAATTTTATACTGTGCCCTTAAGTGAATTCGTAGCCAGACACTTGGTTAGACTTGATCCCAGCACTGAAGTGTTGAGTGCATATAGAGGACATTCAAGATAAGTACTGTACAGGCAACCCAACAGAGCCCAACTTGTGTTATGAATGGGAGCCTTCAGGTGCTGGGTGATAAGAAGCCTTAACACCATGAGGCATGCTGCTGGCACTACCCACGTAATAAACGACAATATCAATAGCACTTTAAGCACAAGGGCAAAGTAAGTGGGAACAACTTGGAGAAGAGTAAGGATTTATGTTTTACTCAACTGCTGTGGTGCTGGTTTGAAATACCAATTGCTCTTGAGACAACCTTGTCTTGATCAGGTCTTGATCACTGTCTCTTCACGCAGCTGCTATCATACTTACCTGCATTCATAGCTTAAGTAAGAAAAACATTTTTAGTAAGAAGATAAGTTCTGACTTGGATTAACAGAGTAGGAAGTAGTTAACAAGACACCCTTAGACTGAATTTGAAAAGCTTTTGGATGGATGAGAAAGGTGTTACCAGGGAAACAAGTCCTAGTTTCAAATTCCTACAGGATAGTAAGCATGAGTGAAGGGAAAATTTAAATACTAATTTATATTCTCTGTAATTGCTTTTCACTCAGTACTAGCAGTCTGTTGACTAATGCCTTTAACCATGACTACTTTTAACCATATTTAAGAATCCTGCTGTGGGGTCCAGCTGCTGTGGAGCATCACAAGACTTGCAAGAGTCTAGGGAAGTCACTGTGGCAGCAGCCAAGCATGGAGGAGATTCTGTGTCTGCTAGATCGAGAAAAGATGATGAAGACAATTCTGTCGTTCCCTCAGCATCGCCGCCTTCTGTCATCACAGGTGCTTTGGTTCAATGCTGAATTATCCTTCTTTTGAACAAGAAAGAAATGTAGAAAAAGCCTTTCATTTCAGTAATTTCTTTCTACCATTCATGTAATGCATTGCAATTTGCTTACGTCAGAAGAGTAATTTAAATTCATAGGAGGGCTGGAGTTAATTATTTAGGTGCACTTTTCAGATGAATGGCAATATATGAACAACATCTTGTTGTCAGGTGCGACTGTGCAGCATTGCCGAGATTGCCATGTATGTGAGACCAGAATGTGACTTTTAAACGGTCGTTGACTGTCTGAGGATCCAGTGACAATGGGCTCTTCAGTCTTTTGTACAGTTTGCTAGCATGCTTCTGTACTCGTTTGTGCTAATCAGGGGGAGTAGCTTTGGAATGCTGATAGCGAAAGCCTGATTTAAACACAAGCACATCTTATCCTGTGTTGCATTATACTTTGCAAGGGATAGTATCTCCTGCTTCATAATGGAGTGGGGTGGTTGGGGAAGTTTGAAACCAAGCTGCACATCGGTAGTGTTCCTTACAAATACTGGTTTGGATTTGGTTTCAGGAGATAGAAGAGTCACTATATAGAGATGAAAATGTCAAGAACCTTGGTGACTTCTACGATCCCTGTTTTCTACTTCAGCTGTTTAGTGAACTGACCAGACCAGGTAAAGTGAATGTTTCTCTTTGATATTTAGTGTCATTTTACTCTGCTGAGAGAGCTGCAGGACTCCGTCTGTAGCTCTGTTAGTCTCAGTCTAAGAGCTAATACTACAAAGCTCTTTGTAAACTCAAAACTCCAAGAAATTTGTTCCTGGCTTTGGAGAGAAGAAACATCATTTAACCATCCACTACATTCTATTGTAATTTTCAGAACAAATTAAAAGGGTGATAAGGTATAATTGGCCTTAAAGTTTTAGGTTTGTTTTTTTTTTTTTTTAAAGTACTTTTCCAAATAGTGCAATATATCAGTAATGAGTATTGGATCGCAATCAGTAATGAGATTTGGCTGCTTAGAAACAGGGCAACTTAGCAGCAGGGAGGGATTCCCTCTTCTCAGGTCCAGATGAATAGGTCCTCCCTTGTAGCTCTTTTAAATGTGGTGGGTTAACCCTATGTAGAGGGACTGATCTTAAGATGAGAAGAGGTTTTTAAACTGGAAATAGCTTGGAAGAGACAAAAAGTGGACAAAGATTTATGTTCTCTATCAAACAGCAATCTGTATGTATACCACAAAATCCAGCACAATGTAATTATAAAACAGCATAAGAATGGTCAGTAGAGAATATTCCCCATTGAAAGGCTGGGTCTTATTTTATGGTGTCAGAGCAATACAATTATCAAAAGAGGTGTGGGAGGGATGGTACCTTCTGCTGCTCCATGCAGCACCCCACCTGACAGGACTGCTCTGATCTGGGGCTGCTTCAAGGCTGAGTTTTTTGGGAGCAGTAATCAGACCTTTCAGCTACGCTCTCAGTGAGAGCTGGGCAGAGGTCAGGCAGGTTGGAGAACGTGCCCTGCAGTGCTGGAGGAGTTCTGTGAGCATAAACCAGAAGTCACATAAATCTCTGCAGGGTTATTGATTTCTGTGACTGAATTGAAAGAAAGTTGGGGCTGTTCAGCCTGGAGAAGACTGTGTGGAGACCTCATAGCAGCCTTCCAGTATCTGAAGGGGGCCTATAAGGATGTTGGGGAGGGACTCTTCGTTAGGGACCGTAGTGGTAGGACAAGGGGTAATGGGTTTAAACTTAAACATGGGAAGTTCAGATTAGATATAAGGAAGAAGTTCTTCACAGTGAGGGTGGTGAGGCACTGGAATGGGTTGCCCAAGGAAGTTGTGAATGCTCCATCCCTGGTGGTGTTCAAGGCCTGGTTGGACAGAGCCTTGGGCGGCATAGTTTAGCGTGTGGTGTCCCTGCTCATGGCAGGGGAGTTGGAACTAGATGATCTTAAGGTCCTTTCCAACCCCAACTATTCTGTGATTCTATGAATTGCGTGGAGATCTGGCCTGTTACAGGCCGTGGTTATAGTACAGGGAAACTTAAGCCAAATCATTTTCCATCAGACAAAGATGCATGGGGCCGTTGTATGTCATGAATAGGCTTGTGCTCAGAATTGTTGGGAAGTTTGATGAGATCTACATGGTGCTTGAAAACTAGTTGCTTAGCCTCACTTTCCTTGTTTGACATGACCCTGCTTTGCATATGCATATCGCTGCTGAGCTTCACAGGCACAGTCTATTTAGAGAGCCCTTAAAGATCAAAGGGAGACAAGTATCATAAGGAATTTCCTAACCAACTCCCTCCCTGTGTTGGTTATGGTTAACCACTCTGTAGTTACAGCTGGATTTGGCTTTCCACAACAATAATACCAGAAGCAATTGGTAGGCTGGTAACTGTCATTCAGTGAAATCATATAGTCCTTTGTTCACTTATGCCTTCACAATATGGTACCTGTTTAGTTTGCTCTTAGCCTATACTTAGCTATAGTTGTAAACAGCTCTATATAATTTTGACAGCAGTAAAAAGAGCTGTCTTTTAGGCTACTGAGGAAAAAAGGTACCAGAACTATTTTGTCAATAGAAGGGATTTTAGACAATTCAGTTAATGCTAGGAGATTGTTACTGATGGAGAGCATGGACAGACAGTGTCTGTTGAACCTAGGTGTAATAGTTGGAAAAAGCAAAGTCATGCACCCATCATCATCGGCCACCACCTTAACTGATGGGAGGAATTTGGTGGCTGTTGGTCAGCCTCAGCAGCACTACAGTCAGCCAGTGAGGACAGACACTTACATCTGTGGCAGCTCTTGCACATCGCGTTCTTGCGGAGCTCTGGGGGCGGTGGCCATCCTGCCAGGCTGACTCTAAACCTGGAGAGGGGAAAAATAGTTCCTTTAACTGCTCTGTGCTGAGTGAGTGTCTGCGTCCTAAGTCGGGCATTTTTAAAGGGCCCAAGTGGTTCATGAGTTCAAGTCCCATGGTGCTCCTAAACCATGTCAGCTGCTCTTGGAATTCCTGATTCCTCTTTTATTTATTTGCTCTTTGTACTGGCTGCACAGTGCCCTGTGCACAGATGTTATATAACTGCTGGATTTATAAACACAGTCTTATTGCACAGTGTTTAATGCTTACTGAGTAAAAAGTAAGTCTGGAGTTGGGCAGATTGCAAGTTCTGTCTAACTTTAGCTCTGATAACCATCTTGTGGAAAGCTTTTCCATCATGGTTCTCAAAGTACTTTAAACAAACTGTATGTCAGACATAGAATTCACTTTTTTCTTTTTTTTTTTTTAATAGCTTGTTATTTTATGTTAATTGTTGAACACACACTGCAAGGTCACCTGGATGGAAAATATTTCCACTGCATGTTTTCAGTGAAAGAATGTTTTCCAAATAAATCTTTCTGTGACCAGTATGAACTTTACTGCTGAAGTGAGGACTTTGGATTTCACTCTGTGGTACCACCCCATAAAATTATCCAATTTGTCTGTCTAGTTGGTGTATGTTAGTAGCTCTCAAGAGGTGCAGTGTGAAGGAGAGCCAGGTGGTGGCTTGCAGTGAAGGGGCATACAACATATATTTGATGCTGTACTGAAGAGGGGTTATTGTATGAGCCAGGGATGTGTGAGATGTCCGTAAGTGATGGAGAATCCTATGCAGACACATGAGTTTTCTTCGCATGTTTACTTGGGATTCTACAGAAAGCGTCCATTTCCCAGTGCTTACCTTGCACCCTTGCATCTTGCATGAAGACTGGGAAGTGTGGAGTTACTTTGCCACAGACAGAAGGTAGCTGAAGACATAGATTAGGTGTCTCTCTGGACTCTGTTTCTGCTGCCCTGTTGTTGCTACTCCTCTCACCATTTTTACTGTGGCAGTTGGGTAAGTGGCCTTGCCCAGTGCCTGGAAGTAGAAGAAGGTAGAGCTGTATCTGCGTGAGTTCTGGTGATATGGGATGAGATTTGTTAGCATGTAGTGATGCTAACAAATGAGGATCTTTTTGCTCACTAGGAGGATGACTGAGGTGTTGTACATTGTGCCAGTTAAACTTGATGTGCTTTGGTGGAGTGGTGTAGGGAAGTGTACAGTAATTGACAGCATTGAAATAACTTGTAAAACCACTCACTGAAAAGATCTGTACTGCAGTTCAGTGATGCCTTTGCACTGGTCATGCAGCAGTAAGCTAGTTGGGAGGCAGTGCTGGGAGGTGGAGACCCTGCTGTTGCCTGGCCCATAATTAGCAGGGCTAGGTATGAAACTGCCAGGCATGAAATTGAAGTAGGAGTTCTGGCAGTTGAGGAAAAGATGAGAGAAACAGCCCACCTGCTGGTGCAGGGACATAAATAATCTGTGATTTTTACATAAATATTTACTTTTTTATATATATAT